TTAACCCTTTAGTCTGTCCCTTAACTTTGAACCTGAAGCCTGTCTCTTTCCTTTAACCCTTTAGTCTGTCCCTTTTCTTTGACCCTTTAGTCTGTCCCTTTCCTTTTAACCTTTAGCCTGTCCCTTTCCTTTAACCCTTTGGTCTGTCCCTTTCCTTTAACCCTTTATTCTACCCCTTTCCTTTGAACCTTTAGCATATCCCTGTCCTTTTAACCTTTAGCTAGCCTGTCCCTTTCCTTTAAACCTTTAGTCTGTCTCTTTCCTTTGAACCTTTAGTCTGTCCCTTTCCATTAACCCTTTAGTCTGTCCCTTAACTTTGAACTTGAAGCCTGTCTCTTTCCTTTGACCCTTTAGCATATCCCTTTCCTTTGAACCTTTAGTCTGTCCCTTTCCTTTAAACCTTTAGCCTGTTTATTTCCTTAAACCCTTTCCTTTGAACCTTTAGTCTGTCCCTTTCTTTTAACCTTTGGTCTGTCCCTTTTCTTTGAACCTTTCGTCTGTCCCTTTCCTTAAACCTTTAGCCTGTCCCTTTTCGTTGTTCCTTTTACATGTCCTTCTTCTTTTCAGTTTTGGCCTGTCTCCCTTTCTTAGACCTTCAGAATGTGCATTTCCTTTTCACCTTTATCCTTTCTCTTTTCTTTAAACCTTTAACTTGTTCCTCAAAAAATTTAAAAACGCATCAATATTTTTAACGATAAAGTCCAGTAAGAAAATATAGAAATACTACCCTAAAAAGTTTTGAAATGTTAAAAGCTTCTTTAAAAAGTTTTAAATGACATTTTTATTGTTTTAAAGTAAATTTATCTTGCATAGGAATGATGACTGTCGAATTATTCAATGATTCTTGTCAAAATGAAAAATCTGGATTCCAACAACGCCATAAAGCCTTCAGAAAAAGTTTATTCAAATCTAGTAAAAACACAATAGAGATTTCTTTAATTTTATTTGTGAAAAGATGAATAAAATTAGATTAAAATTAAGATGAGTAAATTTATAAACAAATTATGAAGAAAGATCTGATTAGATTGAAAATTAATAAAAATTCTACCAAAATTAAGATGAATGAAATTGTTTATAATTGAACAGAAATTATTTTTAATCAAAAATGAATGAAACTTGGACCAAAAATTATTCATAATTCGTAAGAAAATCGGTGCTTCTTAAATTTAGTTTAGAATCGCTTAAAAATGAATTAATAATAATTTTTCATAATTTCTAGAGCACCAATAATATACATATAATTTGAAGGAAGCAATGAACGATCATGGCAAAAAAAACGTAATTTCTTAATTTTGTAAATATTTAAAATCCAAATAAGAGTTCGAAAGTTAGCGAAGGTTTTAAGGGTTCATGTGAGAGTGTTTTAGCAGTTCTTTGTTAAGATTTTAAAATGTCCCCCCCCCCCC